TGATATGATATAAGATGCTTTCCTCTCCACTTTAGTGCCAAAGCTCTTCTAGTTATTTTGCGAAGTAGATAGTAAAAAGAAATTGCCTCCTTGTGCCTACCCCCCCCCCCCCCCCCCACCTTCCCAGGCCCTTGGAGATTTAGACCCCCCCCCCCCCCTTTTTTTTAATTCCTGGGGAAACCCCTGCACCTCCCAGTTCTAGTCAGACTTGTACGTAACGCGTTACAAGTAATGGATTACTTGTAATCGATTACATTTTACTGTAATTTTGTAACGCTTCAATTACTTCCCTTAAGGAGTAACTATCCTGTAATTGAATTACTTTTTGCTGTAATCGATTACAAAATTACCCATTACAATTTCCGCAATTAATTTTTTTATTTATCTTCTTTTTTGTTTTGGTGGGGGGGGAGGGGGGTTAGGTGTGCTGGAGCTACGCAGCTGTAAGCAACGGTCAATTTTTTTTTTTTTTTATTTTTTATTTTTTGTTTTTGAAACCACCGTAAGCACGGGATCTCGAGGATTAGTAGGCCACTTCACCAGGCTTCGTTTCCTGGGTACATCTTTTTTTTTTTTTTTTGGTACACCGGAGACTAGGCCCGGGTATGAAAAATGGCCTTATCCAGCCTCTTGTGAGTAATGTAATGGGGTTTGGCATTTCAGGAGGGGGGAGGGGGGGGGGGGGGGGTCGCCCCCGAACCCCCCCGCCGCCTACGCCACTGCTTGCATGTTTAGACAACCTTGAAGTTGGTACGCCTCAACGGGTGACCTGTCTCTTAGCTGTAGATGAGAAATTTAGCCACTGCAGTACAACCGCTAACCTGGGGTCTTTAACGTGCACCACGCAGTAGTGATTACACGAACGCGTGCCTGTACGAAGCTCATCCAGATCGAAACGGGCGGAGGGTGGGGATCGAACACAGGAGGTTCTGCAGCGCAAGCTTTTTCTCCACATTCCGAGCTGACATGCGTTAGCCCATGCAGAAAGAAAACACGTGGCTTGACATATATTTAGAGACAAGAACGAACACAAAGCGACGAGAGAAATATCAAAGTCGTAGTAGAGATTAGCTTGTTTTCTCCCGGACCTCGATGGGCAACCTGGAGGGGTCTACCATCGGGGAGCCGGAGAGGAGGGGGAGGAGGAGGGGGGGGGGGGGGTTCGTGGGTAGGATGCCGGTTGCTCATTGGACTCGTTGAAGAAGACTTCTCTCTTCTTTTTCTTGTGACGACAACAAAAAATCAATCAACTTTTTTTTTTAACCGCATTTTATTATGATTTATACCTTTGGCTTCGTGGCCTCACTTGGTGTGGACAGTAGGGGAAGCGCCGGGAGGCCAAAAGGTCAGGCCCTATACGGCTTAGAAGTTAAACATTGCCGCGGTTTGTTTACGAGCCGGGGAAAAAAATATACCGATTCCAACACAATCTCGGCGAGAATCGCCAAAACGTGCTTCGCCAGGGGCTCTAATCTGGACGCTTGGCGACAAAGTGTCCGTGATTGGCAAGCGCCGCGCTTGACCTTGGCGCCGACTGATCACGGCGATCGAATTCCTCGCCGACTTTTTCGCCAAGTGTCCAGATTAGAGTCCCAGGAGTCTTCCTCTCGGGCCAGAGATAGTGGACGGAACCATTGAACGATGCGCCAGGCACAAGGCACGTGTAGGCGTATCGTGAACTCGAGCGTCGCGGAGGACCTATGGACCCGTGTATTCTTTCGGCGTTCCGGGAATCGGAAAGCAACTTCGCGGAGATTCTCACGATGCCGATGTGCATGCATGGAGAATGGCACATAAACATCAGTGGCGCTCAAAGCTGCTAGTGTCTCGAACCCCCTGAAACTTGATCCGAGGTTTTCGAAGATGCCGAGCTCGAGCTCGGTCGCGTACGAAAACGGCCTGCCGTCGTTGACAGGAAGAGCACTTCGGGGCTCTGCTGGCCACGTGGATTCACGTGCCTGAAAACTCTCCATCGCCCTCGGGTTGGGAGAAGATCTGTAGCCACGACCCTCCGCGGGAGACATATATACCTCCGTTCGTGGTGGAAAAAGCAATGTTCAGCACGTACAAAACGCCGTCTCGACGGTGTTCGAAAATGCGACCACTTCTACAGTCGTTTCGTGTTTTTCCAGCGCTGTTGGCACCAGCCCATACCCACCTGCACGGAATGAGTGAAGTGCAGACGAGCGGCACCCTCGAGCGAGTAAATTTCAGCTCGGCCAATCAGCGCAACTTCCACCACAACACGAGGCAGTCTCCCATAGAGTTTTTCAGGCCTCGGGGGACAGCTCTGGTGGCGCACTTGGCAGCGGCCGAGTTCCCCTGTGTTAGCCGCCAGTACTCCGGATATGATCGGCCTGAGACACTGCCAAGCAGGCGCGGAGAAAAAGAACGAGGAGGAGCGGCAACGACCTTTCCAAGGCATTCGCCGGCGAGAACATATGAAGTCCCGCGCCCGTCAATGACTCGGCCAGTAGTGGGACAGACGTTCTGCCGTGCGCCAAGAAATATACGTTCAGTTTTGCCGCCTCACTTTTGCACCCAGCAGTCCCAGGGGCGGATCCAGGCACGTATCCAGGAAGAGGGGGGGGGGGGGGGGGGGCGCCATGGGGCCCGGACTTCCCCCCCCCCCCCCCGAAATCTTCCATTTTGCTGGGACCTCCTCTCCCCCCCTCCCCCTCATACAGCATTTTGTCATAGGCCAGCCCCCATGGGATCCGCCCAAGCTACGTGCCTGGGCGGATCCAAGGGGGAAAGGGGTGGCCGCCCTCCCCCCCCAAAGAAAAAAAAAAAGTCGACCTTTACTTTCCTTTCTTCTCGGAAGGCAATTTGACAAGGGTGGAGCCCCCGGTGCTCACGAAAGAATGGGAGAATAGTATCCTTACAAATTTTCCGCCCCCCAAAACGGAGTTCTGGATCCGCCCCTGAGCAGTCCGCAATGTCGCAGATGGGACTCGGTGCCACGTAGCGCTTTAGTCGCGCTTCTTCGCTTGATGTCACCAGGCAAGGTGACATGGATTACTTTAACTGCAAATGAAGACCATTTTACTCCGAAAGTAGTTAATTACAAACGGGAATTACTCTAGTGCGCAGGAAGTAATTACTAAATGTTAAAGATTTGTGCTACAAAGTAATGCAATCGATTTGTTACTTTTAGGCAACCGCGTGAATTACATTTCGAACCACCAAAGGAAGTAACCAAATTACAGTAATTAAATTACTACTCGCGCCTTTAGTCAGAACGCGACTGGAACACACAAGACCAAACCAATCTATATTTGCTCAAGAAATTATGAACAGACCATATGTATGACGCAATGTCTTCCGGTCCTTTTATGATGAATAATGTCATGCGGGTTACCCCAGTGTTTAGGTCACTGAGGAACTCTTTCTTTCTCGTATCAAACAAGGCATATCTTATATTGTGCATATGAATGCATGATATATCTTCCTTCCGTATGATCCATCATAAGGAAGCAATGCGGGAAAAAGTGGGCCATAAAAAAAGCTACACTCTAAGAAATGCCTGCACGTCTACTTACCCGCAAAGCACTCAAAGAGCCAATCTCTGCGATCTACGAAATGTGCTCAGCCAATGATGAGGCGGAACATCCGTTTAGACCGAAAAATGACGTCTGCACTGTGGCATTGCGTAATACGAAGCGTCATGCTTGCATTGCCTAATGCCACAGCGCAGACTAAATTTTGAGGTCGAAACAGATGTTCCGCCTCATCATTCGCTGAGCCGATTTCATAGATCGCAATGATTGGCTCTTTGAGTGTTTTGCGGGTAAGTAGACGCGCAGGCATTTTTTAGAGCGTATAATTTAAAAGGAATATTGTGGGGTATGAACGTTTTCCGCTTGCACTTGAAAGCGTACATAGAAGTTAAAACGCTACCATACGTCGTCTCACAAGTTGTGGGCTGCACTCTCAAACACGGGAGCGTGAGAAAGGTGAAAGTTTGTTTTTTAGTCACTCGGCAAAGGGGGGGGGGGGGGGGGGGGGGAAGGGAAAACATTTTCTAAAGTCACGAAAATCGCCCGTGCCTCCCACAACTCTCGATATGTGTCAAGTCCTTTAGTGCAACTAATCTCCGCTAAGTTCTTTTTTATATATATTTTAAGTCAGTGTTGGACAAAATACTCGATAAAAGTATTTAAGTTAAGTTACTAAATACCTGCTTCATAAAGTATTTAAAATACTACTCAAGTTACTTTCATTGTAAAGTATCTTGAGCAGAGTACAAATACTTAGAAATGTAATTCTATTACTTTCGAAGACACTTCCGCATCGCGTAATTTGTATCGACGTCAGTGACAACGACAATTATACAGCGTCGCAAATCTGGGTTACCAGGATGGTTTATTAGCAGGCAACAACACAAAACAGAAAACAAAATAACGTAGCTCTAATTTATGCCGTCCGACTATAAGAAGCAAAATGAGATCGTAAACATTTTTTTTTTTTTTTTTTCAGTCATCTCGGTCTAAAACGACAGTACAGTTGCCCTTGTCGGCTGGATGGAGCACAATCTCGTCATCTTCTCGAAACGCTCCAAGTGCTTTTACTTCTCCTTTTGGTAGGTTGTGTAACTTGTGTTGTTGATGTTGCGGTATCTTAGACAAGATGCCGATCATTTTTTGTCGGGTTCGTTCGCAAGAGCTTAGATTCATGTGCTCAAAGCCGTCTTCAAAGACTGCGACCGTTTTTGGCAAAGGCGGCCTCGGTGTGGTCATGTTAAACCCATGACTAATCTCTCACAAGGAGAGAGTAGCCTGGACGAGAGATCTGCGACAAAATTGGGGGTGTTGGTGCTGTGTTTTGTTATATGTCTGTTCTCCAGTCTCAAAAACGTTTTGCCTTGAGACACTTGCTTATTTTCAGCAGCAGTGGAGGCAACACTTTCGGCGAAAGACTGTAAGGATGGGAATACGTCTGGAATGCTGTGTTTTAGCTGCCGTCGAGTGAAAAACAGGTCCAGTTTCTTTTTCTTTAAGGTGGATTGGCACTCGTGGATTCGAGCTTTAACCAGACGGCTCTCAGCCTGCTCGAGGACCTTGTGTCCTTCCGGCGTATGTACGAGTCGCTTAATGCGAAGGCTTTGGGGAACCACGAGGGAGTCCCGGCAGGCCACCGTAAAGTCCAGGTGAGTCATAAACATAAGAGATGCTGCGAGCAACATTCACATACCGTTTAGTGAGCTGCGCTGTCTCCTCTCCGAAGTCAATGCGTAAAGACCTAAAAGTAAACATTTGACAGAGATCTAATATGTACAGAGATAAATATTTGACAGAGATCTAGTATTTACAGAGAGAAATATTTACAACCAACCATTCACACGGCAATGACCTCTCCAGCCAATGAGAGATGTAAGCACCTTGTAAGCACGGGGCTGGGCTTAGCCCCGGGCTGCAACCTCCGCCTTCTGCATCTAAATTGCCTCTAACGGCGTAGATATTGCGCGAAAGCTTTTCTCTTCGTGGAAAAATTATTTTGAAAATACGTGTCCCTTTTATGAGATTTAAAAAAAAAAATGTTTTTTTTCTTTGCAGTGTCCCTTTAAAAAGACAATGCAAGAAAAAAAATGTTTTGCAAAATCTTTCGACAGAGTCTAGCACCGGAAAGTACTAGATAAATTTATACGGGTACTAAACATTATTGTCTTTTACGATGAATTGATTCTTACCTTACGAATCGTCAGTAGTATGTTACTGTGGGTAATGCGGAATCTATAGAATTGCACGTTCTTTCAGGAGTACCCCAAGGCTGGGTACTCGGTCCTTGGCCTTTTTTGTGTGTGTTTATTAATTGTCTGCGGGTTGATAAACCGTCCGTACAATGTCGTTTTTTTTTTTTTTTTTTGCTGACGATAGTTTTGTTTTTCAAAATATCATGTCCTACCGATCAGAAATGTTTAGTCGATAGCCTTTATATGGTATTCCCCTGGTGCCAAGAGCCAGGCAAATTAATTTAAATATCAAGAAATGTGTGTAAATGACAGTATAACGCTGAAAAGATGTCCACTTTTTTATGCTATCAAATTTGTGCCTTTAGAAATCGTCATTTCATATAAATATCTAGGTGTGATCATTACGTCCAATTTAAACTGGCCTGTTCATATTGAAAACATTATATCTATTGCGTCCCGTAAACTCTGGTCTTTACGCAGGACAATGCGTCATTGTACTTCTGAAACGAAGCTCGTGGCATACACGCCTTCGATTCGTCATTTACTGGAATATGTGGACATTCTATGGGATCCACATTCCCAATTATTTATTGATCGCTCGAAAGGCGTTCAAAAAAAAAAAAAAAAAAAAAAAAGGCACTACAATTTATTTTTAATGCTTACGGCATGGAAATATCTGTATCATCCTTGTACTACACCGCCCCCAATCTGGGTTACCCCAGTTATCTACTGGCAGAAAAGTGAAGCCTTTAAAAAGTTTTGCACAACACAACACAAGATAAGATTGCCTTAAAGTTTGAGGACTATCTGAGGTACTATAACAACCAACAGCCGTGACACAAGGCAAAAACGTGATAAGCTAACCCTTGAGTTCCAATGCAAAAAAAAATAAAAATAAAAAAAATACATTTTTAAATATTCGTATTTTTTTGTTTTTTCCCAGGTCCGTTCGGTGGCGCCCTCTTCTGGTTTCCTTTCCCGACGTCACGACGACGACATCTGCCTCGCCGTGATTGGCAGGATTTGCCACGCTGCGAACCGGCGATTGGGCATGCATTATAAGAAACTGGGAGATTATCACAGGGCGCCAGGGTCACGCGACGAGTTTGAGCGCACCTCCGAATCGTCGCGTTGAGCACCAATACAGTTCCGTCAGATCTTCGCCTTCGCGCAGTGGTGCCAACGTTCTGGAATGAGACAACACTGGTGTGTCATCCTTTCTTTCACATACGTTTGACCTGGAATTTATACCGCGACGACCTAGCAAGTTTCCAGTGACAAATCGTTTAAGAATCCAGAAGAACCAACCAATCTATATAATTGCCTAAGAAATTACGAAGAAAATAAAACAAAATGTATCGGGCGATTGTCCTTTTATGATCAATAATGTCACGCGGGTTGTTTAGGTCATTGAACAACTCTTTCTTTCTCGTATAAAGCAGCGCTTATCTCATACTGCGCATATGAATGATATCTCCCTTCCTGTCGACATGACATAAGGAAGCAATGCGCAAAAAAAGTGCGCAGTAGAAAAAAAAAAAAAAAACCTGTAATGTAACAGGAATATTGTGGGGTATGAACGTCTTCCGCTAGCACCTGAAAGCGTGCATGGAAGTTAGAACGCTACAATACGTCGTCTCACACGTTGTGGGCTGCGCTCTCAAACACGCAGGCGTGACAGCGGTGAAAGATGCGTTGTTTTTCCAGTCACTCGGCAGAGGGAAAACATTTTCTAAAGCCACGCAAATCGCGTGTGCCTCCCACAACTCTCGATACGACAAAGTCCTTTAGTACAACTAGTCTCCGCTAAGTTCTTTATTATATATAACTTAATCCACCTGGCCGTTTTTTTTTTGTTTTTTGGTGGCGCTGCTGTCGGGACGCTTTGCACGGCGCATGCGCAGACGGTTCCGTGAGTCTGCTTTGTGCTTGCGCGCAGCAGAGCCCGGTGTGGGCAAACGCCGCCCCGGTGTAAACAGCTGGCCCCGACAACGGCGTCGACCGCTCCTTGCGGTGCAGCGGGCAATCAGAGCGAAACGCCGAGACGTTCCGTGACCGGCGGCAGCCCGCCCGCGTGTACCTGGGCTCTGCGATGTTTCGGCGGTCGAAGTCATTGAGCGCAACGAGGTCGTTTACCTGCTCCGGGGCTGCGACATCGCAAATAGCAGAAACGGCAACAGCGAGCGTTTCCCCCTCCCCGCTGGACTTCCCCGCAAAGATCGCAGCTCGGAGGCTCAAAGAGTAAAAATAAACAAGGCCACCCCGCGCACGATTCGGGCGGGCGAGGCTTTTCCGACAAAGGAGTCTCGCCGGGACCCCGCGTGCTTGTCGTACAGCTGCGCAGTTCGGGACCTTGTCATCGAGCGACGCATCAATCAGGGATGCCCAACGGCGCGCAGAGTTTGAAAACAACGGCCAAAACTGTGCCAAGTCGAAACAACACCCGAGGCTTACAGGGAGCCAGCAGTTGTACTCAACACGAGGCCTATTTATTACGTGTACATACGTAGATATACCTTCGAAGGAAGCTGAATATACACCCAGGATACATCCCGCACAGAAGGAGAAATGAGAGAGTTTCGCAACAAATATGAGCTGTATAGGGACGGGATAACAACGGCAGGGAGGCCTTTCAGTTGTACCGCTTCGAGCGCGAGCTCATCGAGTACATTTCGGCGTCTCGCGAAGGTGCAGCCAAAGCACGGTGGAAGGCTACGATCGAGGGCGTGCTGGAGGCTGGGAATCCCAAAGAAACTGCCTGCGCTTGTCTTGTCCTGGCCAATCTGGTACTGCGTTTGAAATAAACGTTTGGGGAAGTGTTCCTAAGAAATTCATTGCGTAACAACATGAAGGCCAAACACACCCCGTACGCCCCCCCCCCCCCCCCCCCTTTAAAATAAAAAAAAAGTACCGTTTTTTTTTTTGTTTATTGCAAAAATAAATAAATAACGTCTTGTAATTTTTATAAACACTCAAACAACAGGCGAGCTGGTGAAAATTCATCTTTGAAAAACCTCGAGAATGAGGGGGAAAAAAAGGGGGGGGGGGGGGGGGGACGCAGCATACACAGAGTCTCAGAATGTAATTTTTTTTTAACACCCTGTACACCAGAGTAACGCAGTAGTACTGACAATAGAGCTGATCCACCGTTGACTGCGTTATTTCCGCGCTGTGTTGCATGCAACGACATTTCACTTCTGCGAATGGCGCACACTATACACAGAGCGCACACCATAACCATGCAAAGCAAGTTTTATTTCTGCGGGCAAGAGAGGCACACCATTATACAAGGGCGGCGCACAGAGGTAGACGCGCATATGGCTGCTGACGTCACTGGTCTAATAAGCGGAAATGATCCATCAAACAGCGTAAAAAAAAAAAAAAAAAAAAGAAGACGAAGGTCAAGGTGTGCGTTTTATGTTCGCGTTCTGGACGCTATAGGCCGGGTCGCTGCTTCGAGCTTCTCTCTTGAGAAGCTGGAAATTTCGGGCGACTTCGAGCAATGCCACCTGAAGAAAAGGCCTTCGTCAACACAAATTGTTCACATGTCGGAGACAAGGCCTTCAACGTGGTGTAAGAAAAGCTCCGAACTTTAGAGTTCAATAAGCTGAGCATCAGCTTTGTGGTATGCTACTATACTGTTAATAATACAAATCTCGCAGTGTATGTTTACCTGCATCGATCGCCCTGCAAAATATGTTTTGGAAGTTGGAGTATACTCGAGAGGTAGAAAAAAGCAACAAGTTTAGAGGCATAGCGCATACGCGACGCAAAAGAATACACGATTTGACTTTCAAGTGCAAAACCGGTCTTTTTTGTTTGTTTTTTGTTTTGTTTTTACGCTTGAAACGTGTACGTTTTTTAATAAATAACAAGTAAGTAATCTGAAATGCGGACACAAATAACTTAGCTCACCGGACGCTTAAGACTGCAGTCGTGAACGTGTTTTTTTTGTTTGAGACCTTCAAATATGGTGCCTGCCGATGACCCGGAGTTGAGCTCGTGATTTGTGAAGAGAAGAAGGAAGACTGTGTCAAATTAAGTCATTGTTGTGCTAGTTCTGAGATGGTGTTGTTTTTGTCCTTTTTAGCTCCTTGTCTCTGGGTTTTTCTACTATGATGGTCTTTTTATGTGTTTTTTTTTTCTTTCTTGGCAAACAAAGCATTTTGCAGAGCTGCTGTTGACAGCGCCGAGATGGAGTGAAACCATTGAAACAGCTATAGCCATTATACGGTCTTGATGAGCCTCGCGACTGAAGTTTAGTTCCAAGCTCGGTCTTCTGCTTGCACTTCAAATGAACGATTCTGGTTTGGCTGGCTTCCAAGGAGCTGTCATTTATAAAATACCACCCCTCCCCGCTCCCTCACATCCGACATTGAAGGGACTAGTGAAACGAGATCACAAAGTACTCCGCACCTCCCGCGACACCTGCGATGGCCGACAGCTTTCGATTGAAAACAGGCACGCACATGTGTTCACGAGAAACACTGCGATTCGATTTTTTTCTTCTTCTCCTAACTATCGCGACTAGAACACGTTTAATGGAAGACTACGTATAAAAAAGATAAGGAAATTTGCAAGGACACAACAACAAAAAGTCAAATTGGGTCAAATGTAAATTACATTTTTTTTTTTAAATTCTTGTCAACGCTATACGCGGCGACGGTGTAGGACAAAATGGTACCGGACAAAAAGGCCCCAGACGAAATGGCCCCAGACGAAATGGCCCCGGACAAAATGGCCCCGGACGAAATGGCCCCAGACGAAATGGCCCCGGACGAAATGGTCCCGGCCAAAATGGTCCCGGACAAAATGGTCCAGAGTGATTTTTTTTTTTGTCACTTAGGGCGCTCTTTGATGGTTTTAGTTAACTTGTATTCTGAGGCTTTACTCAAAACATATGTAATACACATTTGACTGTATTCAAGCTGTTCATTATACATTTTAGGAAACAATTAAAGGAGCCCAAAAGTTTAATCTCGGCTCTAAGTAAGAGCAATGGTACAAAGCTGGAGCCTGAAAGTCATGACACACATACATACAGACGAAAAGCGCAAGGTCTCGACGCACGCACTCTCTGACCTTGGTTGAACTAACCGGTTACATCATACACGAAAAAGTCGACGTACGTCACTCGTACGTTTTGTTTTCAGTACTGCTTGCTCGGTCAGCGTCGGCCGTGCTCTGCCGTTTGTGAAACGCTCGTAGTGTGGGCTGAAAATAATCACAACTTGTGAAAGCATTTGCTTAAATTTCGAATAAGCGTAATGGAGCTCCGACTAGCAAAACGTACGCTTTGCAAACGGGAGCTCGTGCCAGTCGCTTTGAAGCATGGACTGAGCACGCGACCGCTGAGCTCGATCTCCGCAGCGAACGATCTATTGAGCCTAGTTTTAGCAGATCGTACGCTGCGGAGAGCGGGCCCAGCGGGCGTGTGTTCAGTTCATGCTTCGAAGTGATGGCAAGATTTCCTGCTTGCAAAGCGTTGCTCTAGAATACGGTCTACTAAAAAGCCCCTACTCTTTTCATCCGCGTTTTCAAGCCAGAGACTTGTCGTTAGGGTGTTATCGGGGTTTATTTTTCTTCAAATACGAAATTGTTTTTTCGGGATTTTTTTTTTTCTCCCAATAAATTCGGACGTTGTTCGATGTGAATGTTTGGCGTCGGACAAAGAATCGGCGTTTATTGGGGCTTATGTCGGAGCAAACAGGGCAAGGGATCTCGAAGCTCCAGTGAACATGCGCGTGATCCGAATGCTTGGAAAACATTCCGGTGCGGATAAGAGAAGGGCACGAGATAAGGAATCCCGAGGAAAGAAGCAGCCTCGCGGACAGTTGCGTTCTCTGGGCGCTGTGTTACGGGTCGACAGAAGCCCTACCTGAAGATTATTTCCAGCGAAGCTTGTGTCTTTCGTATTCAAGGACGCTTCCAATAGACCTTTCCGGGCGGCGGAGAAAAGCTCACAGGAGAAAAGCTTACCGCGAAACTGTCCGATGCGGAGAAAAGCTCACCTACGAATCTACGAATCGAGCGTTCACTCAAGTGAAATACGTTTACTCAACTGAAGTATGCTGGGATACCTTATGCGCATGCGGTCATTCTGCACTTCACTAGTAAAACTTATACAAAAAATAAATAAAAAGTAAAAACATTATGTAACAGGCCAGGCGTTGCTCGAAGAAAAGAAATATATATATTTTTTTAGAATAATTAAAAGATAACGGGGGCAATTATAGCTTGAGTAGTTTCTGGGTATTTATTTATAAAATTTCCTTTTATTCAGTATACCGACACCACATTTCCAAATCTCCGCATTTCACCATGAAGCAGTGGTTTGAATTCTTACCTCATTCGAACGGAAAATAAAAAAAAAAAAGGTAGTATTTCTTCTA